GCGCCAAGACCCGTGGCCCTGCAGGGATTGCTCTGACAGTGACGCCGCGCTTTATCCGATGAGGATTATCGTCGGTGCCTCCCCCCCCCCTCCCCCGCGGCCTGAGCTGCCGTGCTGAGGAAAAACGCCGTATGAACATTCGAAAGTTGCCAAATTTCCTCTGATAAAATGTTCATTTTATAAGGAAATTATACATATTTTTCCTGGGACATCTCAGATATTTTAGATTTAGCTACAAATAATATTGTGTGAAAAATTGGAAGAAAAATATGCATAATTTTCTCAAAAAAATTGTATTTCATCGAGAAAAACTTGGCAATGCCTAAAAGTTCATACGGCGTTCTTCCTTAGCACGGCATTGTGGTGCAACTCGACAAGACCGCCAAGTGCTGCCGTTTCTCAGACTTGAATTAAACGTTCGGATTTTTTTTTTTTTTTTTTTAAATAGATATTCCGGAATTTTCTCCGGAGTCTTAGACATTACCGAAATTCGTCGCTTCCTAGAGATAGGAACGTGGCTTCATTCAAAAATTCCGAAATCGACCCGAAACATGCTACCGTTTCCCACAATTGAATTCGAAGTTCGGATTTTTTCAATATTCCGGAGCTTTCTAGGGAGTCTTTGATATCATCGAAATTCGTCGCTTCCCAAAGAGAGGAGCGTGGATTCGATCAACAATTCCAAAATCGACCCAAAAAATGAAATGGTTCTGTTGCATGCAAGAGGTATCTCTAGGGTGAATTTGCTCGAGATTCATGTTAGGCACGTCAAAGAAGTCTGAAATCCGCTCCTTAGCGCGCAATCTGCGTAGTTTGAAACATGGAAAGCGTGTTGCAAACTATGCAGATCGCGCGCTGTGGAGCCAATTCAGGGTGTCTACTAAAACAGGCTGGCCAAAAATCAGTGCTTTCACACTACTTTTTCAGTAGATTCCCGAGAAATTCATTACCTCCTTTGCAGGAATATTCAGTCTTTTCGTAGTACCTCCAATTATTGACGAAATTCGAAAAAATTTCAAAAATTTAATTTCCCGCTCAAATTGGGAGAAAAATTAGAAAACATTAAAAAATTCCGGAGCTTCTTGCGGAATTTCCGCACTTTATCAGTACTTCCGGATGGACCTTTAAAAATCGGTACTATTTCCGGAAATTGCGGACTTGTAGACACCCTGGAATTTCAGACTTCTTTGACGTGCCCAGCGTGATTTTCGAGGGGATTTACCGTATAAAAGTGTATTCTGTTGGCTGTGTCTCTTGCGTGCAAGAGACCCATTGAAAAATTTAACTAGCGGAGTCTCCGGTGTAACTAGAGTGGCAGCACTGCGACGAGAGGGAGGTTTCGCTTGATTTAGCGCGGGGACATTTCTCAGCGGGAACAACGAGACGTCCGCTTGAATCAACCGGCGAGGCGCACAGTGGATCCAGCTAACAGAAGCGGTCGCACATGACATTTTTGACACAAACTCCAAATGTTGATGTTCATTTCGTCACATATTAAATTTCGAGGGGTGCTTCTAGAAGAATATTTCACGAGGAAACCAATAGAACCACTTTTAAAACCTCAAAATTTTGTATAAACCGAGTTATAAACTTTTAAAAATTCCAAATTTTGTTCGACCTCGCCTCTGGACTCGATCCACTGTGCGGGGCGGCGATCAACCCAACACCGCCGTTTACAGATGTGATGTGGTGCTCGAACCTCGAACGACATTCGCCGGAAAGTTTTCGCTCCTGAAAGAAATAAAACTTAATTCCGTTCCGCGGACAGTGGACAGACTGTAGAGTTCTTGTTTCAGCCATCGATATCCTCTTTTTGCGGATGAAATCTTGACGCCACGTCGGAAACTCCTGGAAGTTATTGCTGGAAACTAGTATTTTATTCGCCTCCTCTTCTTCGGTTTTCCTAGCGCGGTATGTTCAGGATGGAGTGCGGTGCCTCCCAGAGACAATATATTTCAGAGACCCCGAGGCGTACCTCATCATTATTTTATCAGTCATCGAATGACGGGAAATCGATCGGATCGCATGGGGATTTCCGCTCCCACCAGTTTCACACTACCACCCCAAACATGGGGTGGGTTTCGTCCGGGGTGGTCGTCTAAGGGATTAAACTATCTTATGTTGGTTTGGCTCTAATTTGGAAAAATCCCTGCTCAAGAGCGGGCTAGGGGTGATCGAGGACCATAATTGTGTCAATTTTTTAGAAAATGTGGGATGATTCCTTCCGATAAACTCAGTCGAAATACACTGAAACAAAATTCTGGACGTTTTTACCACGGTCCGTTGGTACCTTTACCATCTCACTTTTTTTTACCAATTATTGGTAATTTTACCAAGACAGACTGGTAAGCTTACCTAAAAACCGGTATTTTTACTGTTTTTTCAGGTAAGAATACCACTGTTAATGGTAATCAATTCCCGGTAACTTTGCCATTTAATCTCGGTAATTCTACCACAGTCGATAAAAAATATTGGCGTTTTTACCAAGGTCCAGTAAAATTACCGAGAAAGTTCGATAATTTTACCGAGGTTTCTCGGTAATAAAATGACAAATTCCATGAATGGTAATTTTACCAAGAAAAAACTGGGATCGAATAGAACCCTGAATTCTTGGTAATTTTACCCTTTTCTTAGTAAATACACCGAGATTTTTTTTTTCAGTGTATGAGTAGTTGTGAGTATAAAAAATTTCGAGTGGGTTACCTGTGTGACGACGTAGGAACCCTTCCAGCTGAGGAGGGGTTTGTGGAACATGGAGAACTGGAGGCGGAGCTTGCCCATGTCGTCGGCGACGCGGAAGGAGTCGGCGAGGGTGGTGACCCAGTTGACGACCTCCTCGTTGGCGTAGGTGATGAGGCCCTGGCCGAAGTGGTGCCGCCCGGAGATGACGAAGTTGAGGATCCCGCGCACGCTGTTCTCCGTCAAAAGGGTCTCCTCGTCCAGGTGCACGATCCAGTCCGAGTCCGAGAGCATGTTCACGCCGTCCTCCAGGCAGTACTGCAGGGCCCGCGCCTTGTACAGCGCCCCCGACTTGGTCCGATAGTGCGGCGGAACCACCGTCTCTCGCACTCGGTTGTGCGACGGCAGACCGATCGCCTTGTCCGTCACCACCTGCAACGCAATGATAAACAATAAGCATCCATGACAATAAATCTTATATTTGTATTTTTCATGAAATTTGGCCCCCTGCCTTCTTAACAGAAAAATTCAGTACTTTTTCAAGAGCCCCAACGGGCGAAATTCGAAAAATTTCAAAAATTTGGATTTCTCGCTCAAATTTCAACAAAAATGACAAAAAAATGAACAAAATTCGGACCTCCTTGCGGAATTTCCGCACTTTTTCGGTGTGGCGGCGCGGCACTCGCACTCAGCAGTGCGCGTGGCGTGCTGACGCGCCCGCTCGACGCAATTCCGACTTCGGCCGCTAGTTGCAGTTCGATCGCTCGGTTCCCTATCGCAAAGCTGCAAACCAGCCTGGTGGGGAGTCGGCGATCGACTATAAATAGTGGCCGGAGCATAGGCCGGGCACCAGTATTTGATCAAGATTCGTAGAAGACCAACCAGTCCCAGTCGTCGGCTCGTCCCGTAAGCACGAGGGCTATGGCCCGAACCTCCGCGGCACAGACCCGCACTACAATCACGCCCCGGACGCGTACACCAAACTCGGCTCAGACCCGAACCCCAAACTCGGCTCAGACCCGAACCCCCCCCCCCCCCCTCCCCATCCCACAGCCACTCTCAGACCTTAGGCCTGTTCATATATATGTACATGTGAAGCTAATAATTGAGAAAGTATAAATAAATATGTGTCATCTAGCCCTCATAGTTCCTCCTTCATCAACAACCAAAAACCACCCTCCTTACATTGGTGGAGGCGCAACGATCCCGGACCACACAACAACATCTCTACCAGGCTCTACCCCCCAGCACCAAGTCATCTTGAAGGATCCAGCACCAGTGCCAAAATTGAAAGTTCTTTTTTAAGGTTGATTGCTTCTTTTTTTTTAACTAGAGCGTAGCGCTCCTGTCATAGCGCATATCCGCTCTCGGTCTGCTCGCGCCATTGTCACGGCGTTACCCCTGGCCATTGTCACGGCCGTTAAGAGCGGCCGATACTTCAGCAGCTCCGCCATTGTCACGGCGTATCGAGCTAATTTTTTTTCTGCTTTTGCCCCCCTTTTTTTTAGAGCGTCGCGCTCCTGTCATAGCGCATATCCGCTCTCGGTCTGCTCGCGCCATTGTCACGGCGTTACCCCTGGCCATTGTCACGGCCGTTAAGAGCGACCGATACCTCAGCAGCTCCGCCATTGTCACGGCGTACTGAGCTAAGAAACATAATTTTTTTATTATTTTTTTTTCCTTAGAGCGTAGCGCTTTTGTCATAGCGCAAATCCGCTCTCAGTAGCTCGCGCCATTGTCACGGCGTTACCCCTGGCTATTGTCGCAGCCGTTAAGAGCACTGATAACTAAACAGCTCCGCTATTGTCACAGCGTATTGAGCTACATTTTTTTTTTTTTGCTTTTACAACGGGGCAGCTCCCGCTTAGCGGTAACGTAGCGCCCCCCTTTTTTTCTATTTTTTTTCCCCCCTCTTTTTCTCAACCTTAAAAACGACAACATGGCACAAGAAGTCAGCTACATCACGGACTCGCATTTCGGAATAAAAGCAGACAGCCATCCTGAGCTAATACTAAAGAAGAATATGGATGACCCGAAAGCAAGGACAAAGAAGAACAGTATCACACATGAACTACGGCAACAATTTACTGAAATCCCGTCTCCTGCAACAAGAGCCCAACCACAAGGAAAGCTCCACTTGCTTCGCTATTTCAAAACAATCAGCGAGCACAAGGAGCCGGACGGAATCCTGCATTCAGGCCTCTACGTCACAGATGCGCTGTCAGAATCTGAGGACGAGGAAACTGAACTTGAGTCAGCCCAATAAGTAATATAGCCCACATGCTGTGTTACAAAATGAACATAATTTAGGAATACTTAAGGACATATAATATACGGCTTAGACTTAAGACATAGCACTACAAAAGTTGGCAACTACGCCCCAAAAAATCACCAGCCTCTTCACTGAGATTTACGGGCACAGCGGCACAAGTGCTCACTGCAGCGCAGCAGTCTCCAGTCCACTCATCCTTCCTTCATATCCCGAAGCCCAAGCATACAACACCCCCCCCCTTCCTGCCTATTTTTCCCGCCAAACCGACGGCTCTCCTGACACACATTCATTGTCACAGCATACACTCTGGTCAATGAAAATGATGTGGCTTCCCGCCTCAAAGCAATATACCGAACCAGAATCTGAATCCCACCACGAAGCAGCCCAGACAGAAACTTCAAGACTCTTCGCTCTATCGACACCTGAGAGCCCCAGCACTCATCTGCTCCCGCGGACACTCTGGACCTGCCTGCTGCCATCATACGAATCCCCTTCCGCCACAAGCGCGTGGCGCACTTCTGCTTTCAAGACCGTCAAAAATATCACATTTTCTCAAGAGGCCCTAGACTCATCCTAGCCGAAAATCGCATCATTCTCTCTGCCGACATCGACATCAACCGCAAACTAGACGCCCCCCTGACCTCATTTGCAGACGACTGGACCTCAGCCCCCGAACAGCCAAGACAACCGCTCCTCAATTTTCTCAGTGCGCCTTTTTCATTTATTTTATGTATAAATTATTACTTCTCCTTAGTTTAAGATGTAACGCACCTTTTTTCTCTTATGAGGCAGCTACCATTCAGCGCCCTTCTAGTTCACGATATACCATACCTTTTTTATGAGGCAGCTACCATCAAGCGCCCAACCTAGTTTATTTAAGATATACCATAATTTTTTCTTATATGAGGCAGCCACCTTTCTCAGCGCCTCTTACTCATGCCGGCCGCTCTTCAGCGCCCATGAGTTAGCTAGAATTATGCTATAAGAAGCCCCCCCCCCCCAAGCACCCCTTTTGCACCCCGTTTGTATTAGCACCCCTTTCACATGTTCACGTGGCAGCTTCCATAGTTAGCGCCCGTTTTTTCACCCTCCGTCTTGCCTGGTTGTTCGGCCTTTTGAAATTGCTTCGCAATTTTGTTAGGTGCGTAAGGTGTGGCGGCGCGGCACTCGCACTCAGCAGTGCGCGTGGCGTGCTGACGCGCCCGCTCGACGCAATTCCGACTTCGGCCGCTAGTTGCAGTTCGATCGCTCGGTTCCCTATCGCAAAGCTGCAAACCAGCCTGGTGGGGAGTCGGCGATCGACTATAAATAGTGGCCGGAGCATAGGCCGGGCACCAGTATTTGATCAAGATTCGTAGAAGACCAACCAGTCCCAGTCGTCGGCTCGTCCCGTAAGCACGAGGGCTATGGCCCGAACCTCCGCGGCACAGACCCGCACTACAATCACGCCCCGGACGCGTACACCAAACTCGGCTCAGACCCGAACCCCAAACTCGGCTCAGACCCGAACCCCCCCCCCCTCCCCATCTCATAGCCTCTCTCAGACCTTAAGCCTGTTCATATATATGTACATGTGAAGCTAATAATTGAGAAAGTATAAATAAATATGTGTCATCTAGCCCTCATAGTTCATCCTTTATCTCAACCAAAAACCACCCTCCTTACATCGGTACTTCCGGACGACTCTCGAATAATCAGTACTATTTCCGAACTTGTTGACACCCTGAGTATAACTAGTCTCCAGTATCGAACTTGTATCGCATCGATGCAAATCCAATGCCAGTGGCAAGGCGTGAACTTCGATATGTCAATTGTTATGCCATTTAAACCTATGGTAAAGAATCGATTATTAAGGTGTTCGCTACGAACACCCTGATCATCGATTATATTCCATAGGTTTAAATGGCATGACGATCGATACATCGCAAAGCACGCCACGCCACTGTCCAATGATCCCAATTTCCCCCGATTGAGGCTAGAGAACCTGTATAGCGAGAGTATGGACAGATGTGAAACTCCGGAAATCCATCAGGCCTTCACCGATGCTTCTGCGAATAAAGTTAGGGCCCAGAAATGCAGCCAACCTATGAATTTCAATTATCCAGAACGATTTAATAATACTATTGTTACGAACCGTCGTTTATTAAGCACGTGTTTGACTCAGTTTCTGCATAAATTTACCCAATTTTGCGGAATAACGCTCACTTTTGTACATTCTTGGCCATCTTGGTTAGAATTGGAACCTGGAGACTGGCAGTGAAATTTTGTGCGTTAGAAGTTGGTTAGAAGGGTGGCTGCACTTTTAGGCCCTAAGCTCTCCATGAAGCGATCTGTCCATACTCTCGCTATGCAGGTGCTCTAACTGAGACAAGCCTGATGATGATGATTGGTCGAGGGTGCTGGACTCACCTCGATGTAGTAGTTCTCGAGGCCGGCGGCATTGCACTTCTCGAGGTTGCGCTCGACGTTGGCCCGGACGAGCTGGGGGTAGTCGCCGCGGGTGACGATGCGGATGCAGATGAAGGGGGCGAGGAGGGGGGAGCCGTGGAGGACGACCCGGTCCGGGAAGGCGTTGTAGAGGGTGAGCCCGGCCAGGTTGGCCAGGGTCTGCGGGAGCGGGAGGAAGGCCAGGAAGCGGAGGAGGTAGAGGAGGGTGCAGCCGAGGGCGCCGTAGCGGAGCCACGGGTCGAAGTCGTGCCCGGCGGCGTCGCCCACTTTGACGCCCCCCGAGAAGATCTCGAAGAGCACGATCACCGTCAGCAGGAGCGCGCAGTGCAGCAGGTGCTTCGTCCGCGACGACAACATCCCGGCTCAACCTGCAACACACAACCACCAACAATCACATTAGTCAAATGGAAAAAATGCAAAAACATGGGGGCTCCCCTTCGCCCAACCTGAAAAACTGAATCAACAATCACAAGATTCACATTAGGCAAATGGAAAAACTAGGATGGAAAAACCTGAAACCCGGAAAAGACGATCACAAGATTAGCATTAAGTAAATGGAAAAACTAAGGGGCGCCACGGTTGCACGGGTGAAATGAAAAATATGAAATATTGAAAATTTCCGTGAAATATTTCTTGAAATTTCACCAAGTTGTGAAAAAATTATGAAACTTATTTTCAGGGGCAAGGTATGCAACACACACTAAAAAACACCAAAAAGCGGAAACCAATCGCCTTTCATTTAATTTCGAAAAATATTTTTCAATATTTTTCATATTTTTCAATATTTTTCAAATTTTTCATATTTTTCAATATTTTTCAATTTTTTCATATTTTTCAATATTTTTCATATACTTCTGAAATTTCGAGAAATATTTCACATGAAATGTCAAGATTTCACTTTTCATGAAAAATTTCAACCTTGGGGGGCACCCCTTCGCCCCACCTGAAAACCTGAAAACACGACCACAAGATTCACATTATAGTGAAACGGGAAAGCTAGAGGGCGTCCGCCCCTCCGCCCGACCTTCCCGAAGGCGTTTGGCACCTGATGAGCTGATTCGAGGCGGTAAAAGACCTCCATCCAGGCTCATTTTTGAAATGAGTCAGTTGCGCTGGTCACGGAATCGGGGTTTCATGCTTGATTCTTGTGCATTAGCTAAAAATAATGTATGATCTGTCCAAACAACAACTCATGTTCAATATTGACCGAGATATCGCGCTTTGAAAAGTCAGGTTTTTGACGTCATCCACCGCGGTAGCGACGCCCTTGGTTCCTTCCACCTTGGATTCTTCAGTCAGGGTGACACACATTAGCACTGCTTACTAAACGTGAAACTCGACTGAAAGCAAGGTGCAAGAAACCAAGAGTATCACTACGGCGGTGGATGACGTCAAAAACCCGATTTTTCAAAGGGCGATATCTCGGTTAATAGTGATCGTGGAAAGGTGCGGTTTGAACAGATCTTCAGGGTGTCTAATTAAACAAGCTGGCCAAAAATCACTACTTTTACAGTGCTTTTTCAGTACAATCCCAAGAAATTTCGTACCTGCTTAACAGAAAAATTCAGTACTTTTTCAGTGCCACCAATTGAAGAAATTCGAAAATTTTCAAAAATTTGAATTTCTCGCTTAAATTGCTACAAAAATGGGGAAAAAAGAAAAAATCCCGGATCTTGTTGCGGAATTTCCGCACTTTTTCAGTACTTCCGGAGCGTCTTTGAAAAATCAGTACTATTTCCGGAAATTCCGGACTTGTGGACACCCTGGATCTTATGCTTATAGGCTAATCCGTTAATAGACGAACAAGCCCAAAAGAAAGTGGAGCAATCCTAACGGTTAGATAAGGTGGTTGCTATAGACTGGAGCGAAAATGATGGAGCAACTAAAGGGTCTCTACCACGGGAGACCGAGTGAAGATAAGTGATACGCTTCAGTTTCATCTTGCCGCAGCCTGAACCGAGGCACCCGCTGACAGTTGCGCATTCCTGATGAATCTCCGGTGGGCGCGGCAGCTTCTGAAAAGTGCACCCGAACAGAACCAACGATGCCGCGTCCAAGTCCGTCGATTGGACGTCATTTGCACCGCGTTGAGCAGAAAGGAGCCAAGTTGCATGAGCTATTGCCAAATTTATGTGGGCAATTTAATTTTTTACGTGACAACGCTTGCGCGGACTTCATGTTTCAGGGTGTCTAGTTATTTTTCATTTTTGGAAAATCCTGATTTCTGATTGCTAAATCCTGATCAAATCCTGATTTTTTGCGGGAGAAAAATTAGGAGAAAAATTGGCGAATGTAATTTAACAAAAATTGCTCGATAAAAAAATCCGATCGGATGGCCGACTTTTCTCAAATCCTGATTTTACGACGGATTTTTCCTCAAATCCTGATTATACGACGGATTTTTCCTAAAATCCTGATTGACCTCAAATCCTGATAGAATCAGGACTGATTCTAGACACCCTGAACTGTTTCCCTCTTGAAAATCAGTTTTCGCAAAATCGGAAACGGCTCTGCTGAAAAGCTTCTTTACTCCAAGAGGTTTCTTTCCTCTCGATAGTGAGTCATTGGTTTTTTTTTTAAATTCGTCAACGCCGCAATGGTTGTGTTGTGGGACGGGTGCAACTGGTCGATGGCCGGATGTCACGGTGTGTGGAGGTGGACTAGGCGGATCCGGGCCTAATCCAGGCCGGATTAGCTGATTTTGTCTCATTTCCGCTCCTGTTGCCGAACATACGCTAAAATCCATGGATAACGTTCGCACGGACCATACAGAGAAGTCGCGCCGTCGAAAGTGCACCCACTGTACTATGCCGTGCTTAAGAAGAGCGCCGTATGAACCTTCAGACGTTGCCAAGTTTCTTCCGATAAAAACCGAATTCACTGGGAGAATTGTCAATATTATTTTCCAAAATTTTCAGACAATCACGCACGCAATTTTATCTAAAATATCTAAAATTTTCAAGGAAAAATATGCATGAATCTTGTCTAAAATAATTGTTTTGCAAGGAAAATTTGGCAACTCTCAAATTTTCGTACGGCGTTCTTCCTCAGCAGGGCAGTGTAGGAGGAGGGAAATTCTTAGACGCTGATATCCATGGTTGCTACAGAATTTGGAAAATTAAATTCCCTCGCATTTCCCTGCGTTCCCTGACACATTTTGGTAATTGAAAAAATGCCAGCTTTTCAAAAAGACGTAGTTGGAGATATTTTTCGGGAAAAATGTGTTGTTTGAAACGTCGAACCTACTCGAGAAAGCAAATGAAGGTGATTTGACGATTTTCCCTTTACTTTTTCAAATTCTCTGACATTTCCCGGTATTCCCTGACTGTGGCAATCCCGAATAGGAGCACACAATATGCATTTTTGAATGCGTTTACTGTGCATTAATCTCGTCAAAAAATCTAGCGACATTGCGTATCAGGAGGAAATTCATTTTGAAAAATACAATGGTTCTAACTAAACATACATGGTTGTCCGAGACAGTTGGGTAATTACTTAACTCCGATCGATTTAAAAGCCTTTTCTTCTCCGCGAATATCCCTACCGGACCGATTCTCACGTGCAAAACCCGGCTATCTTCTTTTTGTCCTAACGCTCTGAAAGGAAAATTGGCGACTTGTAACTTTTAATGTCTCCAGCCGGCCTCATCGTATTTTATTTCTGGCAGAAAAAGCAGTTAATGCTATGCAGTAGAACTCGCCGCGCCGCGCCAGCTTCCGGAAACGAGCTGCAAGTGCAACTGCTGCATGCTGCCTGCCTTCCTCAGGAAAAACGCTCTATGGACATTCGAACGTTGCCAAACTTCGCTTCAGCGTTATTGTTCAGAGCTTACCGTCAGTATTAAGGTGCCAACGTCGGCCACGATTTCAATTCTGTGCTCTCATTTTACGCATAACGTCGGGCAGATTCGAACACACTGGGGAAAAGAAGAAGAAGAAGAAGGGAAAAAAAACTCTAGCAGGGAAGCTGTACTTACAGGCTATACAGACATCTGCCGTGCTGAGCAAGAACGCCGTAAATCCATCGAGATTTTCCCGCGGTTTTTTGGAACTTAACACTTTATATAAGATAAAAATTGTTTCACTCGTGCACCTCAAATTTTCAAGTTAAGTTCTTGATAGTATTTGCGAAAGAATTCTGTGGAAAAATTGTCCCAATGTACACAAGTTTTTCAGCTACGATGGATTGTTTCCAAAAAATTAAAAATGATGTTTACGGCGTTTTTGCGCTGCGCGGCAGACATACCTTCAGCGTTCCAGGCTCAGGGGCCGCAAGTTCCGGGCGTAGCACCCTGAGCAATCGATGCTACAGGTCCTGCACCCTGAACTTTAGGCCGCTGAGCCCGGAACGGACATTGTATCCATACAGCCCGTAACTTTTTTTTCAGTACACTGGAAAATTCCAAAGAAAAATGTGCAGAACTTTCCTCGAATATAAATCTAAAATCTGGAAAAATCTGGCGACACTAGAAAACTCATACGAGATTTTGGCCCAGGACGGAAGTGCTCGGCGCTGACGTATGCAAAATTTCGAATTTAAATTCCGCCCACCGCGCTGGCTGCCTGGAATAGCTCCCAAGTTTTGCTCACCCCCCTCCCACCTCTCACCCCCTCTCCTCTTTGCTTTCCTTGCAATTTAAACTCTGCCCCCGAGTCAAGAGCGCATTGTTTTCGTTCTTCGCTTTGTTTACTCTCGGCCAAGTTCATTTTTTTCTATTTTTAAGAGCCCTTGTCCGTGCGCGCCTCGGGTTCCAGCTTCCAGCGCCTCGCCAAGTTCAGCCGTTTCCTCCGACGACGGGTACCGCATAAACTTTGGCGGATGATGGAGAACTTGCGAAACTTATTTACTGGGGAATAAGCAACGAGCGACGCTGCACCTAACGTCCATTAAAATTGCATCTTAACCGATGCAATTTGATGCAATTTGATGCAATTTTAATGGAGCTTCCGAGTGAATTTACACAACGAATACATCTTGAGCTTTGCGAAGGGCTACAGAGTATTTACCAGAGCAGGGTGGCCAGAAATAAGTGCTTTTACAGTACTTTTTCAGTACAATCCCAAGAAATTCAGTACTTTCTCAATACCTCCATTTTACGAAATTCGAAAATTTTGAAATTTTCGAATTTCTCGCTCAAATTGCTACGAAAATGAAAACATTCCGGACCTTCTTGCGGGAACTCCACACTTTTTCAGCGCTTTCGGACCGCCCTTAAAAATCTGTACTATTTTCGGACTTGTAGACACCCTGGCCACTGAGCAGGATTAGGAAGAGTCTGTCAAAAAAGGACCTTTTTGTGCCTTTTGGGGTGGGAACTTGAGAATTTATTCAAATGTTCACTGGAAGAAAAGTCTCTCGTATTTTGAAA